ATGAATGTGCCTCAGATTTGTGACAGACAGAAGCTGAAGTGGTTCTGGGAGCAGAAGATCGTCCAGCACGGCCGGCAGATGGACCTGGAGGAGCACCGCGTGAGGAGCAGCGCGCTCGCAAGGTCAGCAAATAGTTATTTCTCATCGTCAGATCTGCTGAGTGGGCATTTCAGGTTCATTGTTTAAAAAACTGTGGAACTCATCGATAGGAGCATCCTCTGTCAGTCAGTTCATTTTGCCATAAAAGCATCTAAAACTTAAGTGAATGGATCCAACTCAACAAATATGAAATTTGGTATTCCCTAAGATACCTGCATGTGGGCTGTAACTTGCTAGAGCAAACATAAATCTGAAATGTTTCCTTACCTAAAAGTCCTCATAAGGATAACTTTTTTTCTAGCTGGTTACATCATATATCATCTTTCTCTCTTCTAGATTAAGTCTAGACAAAATAAAAACATCTTCTTCCTAAAATCCTATTCACAAATCATGTTTGGGTGAAAGCAAGAAACAGATTTATACAAAAAACAACAACAACTATATTATATAAAAACAGTTGCCTTTGGAAAAAAAGGACAATGGTAAACTAGGCCATTGTTTCATTAGATATTTCAGTGACATGTCAACATGACATATTAGGCACTTCTCAAAGTCTACAATGCAATGTGTGGTGTGGCTGGTAGAATATAGGCTAGCTTTCTCTTTAAATTAAATAAAAAATTAGCCTGGGTTGTGAATAGCTGGTTACCAGACAGCTGTTTACACAGACAATTCCTACGATGATTATAAATTATTAAGAATTTTCAACACTGGAATTACACTCATCAATAATGAATGATGTTGTCTTATCAATAGAGATTAGCGATGCCTAATGTGAAAATACTTTTGTCACCTTCTTGTTGGGTGGAGGAAAAACAACTACTTGTGAAGAATACATTTACTTTGATTCCTCAAAAGAAAAACAAAACAAATAATCTATTTTCTTGGCTCTTTGCTCAGGGCAGAATGTGTGAAGAAGGGCAGTCAAACTTGTTTTTTTTGTCAAATCCTTCATAATTTGAATTTATATGTTGACAAGAACATGGCACTTACTAAAATTGTACTATGGCAACTCCAATACAAGAGACAAACACACAAAAAATAAAAGAAGACTTGTTTGGCTGTCTGATTTGGCCAGGAATGCAGAATATGTACAATTCTCTGCAATTCATGACTGAAAATGATCAATATGGCAATGCATCCTTTGATGGTTATTAGTTTTTTTCTGTAGGACAGTGTTCATTTAGTGTTATTACAGGATGTATGATCCATGAATAGTAAAATCATTTAGATTTCTGTGAGCCTTGCCATGTGAATTTCAACCAAATGTTCAAAGTTTTGAGGTCGAAGTCTGTGGCAAAGATGCTGTGGAGCCTTTTACTAACAATCCTCCACATGCTGGGATTTTTTTCTTGCTAAATCCGTCAAAAAGAGTATGGACACAGTCACTCAAATCTCAGCTGTAGAAACTGAATCTGATAGCTGAAACTGTAACATCTCAGCTCAAACCATCACAGTAAAACTGGCTTTTTTCTGTTGCTGTGGGTATACGTTCAGTCCTGGTCTGGCTTTATTTAAATAAAGGAGGATTAGGTTGGTCATTATAAGGCTATTCATATCCTTTAATGACTGAACAAAGTCTAGTAGTTTCCTGATTGAGATGACAGCCTTTTTCCACCATTACAGTTGATCCAAAATGTCACTGTATTATATTTTTACAAAAATAATAAAAAAAGGCTTGAGAACACACATGAAGTTAAAAATAATTAGGAGTTTATAAAACATGCTATTCGGAGTAATGAGGATAATATGTTTTAAAATGTTTATAGAACTCATTTCTAGCTATTCCGAGGAGCTGTTTGATTCACTCTGAGCAAAATGCTCAGACTCAGCATAACATGGAAGTATTTTTCATGTCATGAACACAGTTTTGAAAGTTTTGCTTCAGATGAACCTGTCATCTGAATCAAAATGAAGGTCAGCGAGGACAGGAATGTGATTTTAGTCACACGTGTGCCTCAAAGTGGATTAGTCCGGGAAATGCCTCGGCCGTGTTTATAGCTTGTCCGTCTGTCATCACTTAGAGGACTGAGAATGTTGATGAGAGGCAGCCTGGCTGCGCGTTTGAAACCGGGAGATCAATCTGAATATCCGAGGACAGATGAGCAGATTGCTGGAGATCAACGCAAAGCAAAGCAAGCTGACAGACAGACACCAGCTAACACAGACACAACAATATTAATCCCACAGCTAACAAAGACTTTCTCTCTCATACGCCCAAACACACACACATACACACACAAACAGAAGATCTCTCTTTTTATAACACCATCATTGCTAACAGTGATGTCGGAGGATCAACTTTCTTTGAATGTTCGCAAAGTAAACACAAATTCCTGGGGCTTGTTTGTTTTGATTTATGGGATTTTTTCAATTTTTTGTTTTTTACAAGACTCCATTTGCTGACATCTGTTTAACTCATTTGGTTTGCTGTGATCTGTGAGCTATTTGCTTCCTGCAAACATAATCATTTCGCATATTTTTGGGATGTTTTGTTCATGATGTTTTTTTTTTTTAGTAGGCTCAACCTATCAGAATACTAGTAAAAAGGCAGGATGTTGCAGAAACTGGGAACATTTGACGTTATTTAAAAGTGGAAAAACTGCAGGATGCAAGCATTGGTCAGATGATGAAGTGGGCATCTTCCAATCAGTCAGTGGTTTAATTTCCTGTTGATCCAGCTTTGTCAAGGCTGTGCTAAGATCTGGGACTGATGCGTGGCCATAATTGACTCCATCCTCTCTCCCTCCAACCCTTGCTATCACTTGTTCCATAGTCAGACGTTTAGTTCCTCCCGAGCCTGCTTTAGATATCATGCTACGAGGTTTTCTGAATTGAAAGTTCCCGTTAGCCCTCCTCCAGCTGAGCCTAAACAGTCCGGTGCCTCAGACTGGGTGGAAAATGCTCAAAAAAGTGAAGGCATAGCTCTAAAGTCGAGCCATATTTCACAAGATCTACATGTTTGGGGAATATTTGCTTCTAAATGAATACAACTGAGATGGTTTTATTTGGACCTGAGCATGTCAGGGTGAACCTGTAGAACTAGAATTATTCTGGACAGCAGCTTCCTGGTTTATACTGCCAGTGTGATAAATGACAAATAAATAAAAACAAAAGAAAAAGAAAAAAAAGACTAAAAACACTGCAATTTGACTACTTGCTGGAATAGTGGGACTTGGGGTAATACCTCATTTTATGCTTTGTCCATCATAAAGTTAATAGAAAAAAGCTTTTGATTAAAAAAAGTAATGGGTAACTATAGCACATAGAATGACTCAGTCATGGGACATGTGATTCCTCACTGCTGATCACTGTGACGTACCTCATTGGGTTTGAGATTGAGGTCTGTGGATTTGGATTAAAAGAGGCGATAGTAGCTGGGGGCCAGCAGGGTGTCAGACCTCTGGGACAGAAACAAGGTGGCCATCTTAGATGACTTGGTCCCGTGTGGCCTGGTATTTGTTAATATTCTTAGTGATTATTCTTGTTGATACTCTTATTGACTTTAAGACGGTTTAGTATTTGAAGCTATCCCCTAACCAAACCAGGGTTTGAATCCCTGCTTCCTTTTAGCTTTTAGCTATTTCTATCCCTGACCGTCTGCAGGTCAATGTGGCAAAGACCAGGAAGCTGGTGGTGGATCTGAGAAGGAGTAATGCCCCAATGACTCCTGTTTCTATCTGTGGGGTCAACGTGGACACTGTCCAGGGGGTGCACTTGGACAATAAACTAGACTGGACTAAAAGCACAAATGCCCTGTACAGGAAGGGCCAGAGCCGTCTCTATTTTGGGTTGAGGTCCTTCAACATCTGCCGGACAATGCTGTGGATGTTCTATCAGTCCGTGGCGGCCAGTGCTGGGGGGGGGCAGCAGGCTGAAGGTGAAGGACACCAACAGACTTAACAAACTCATCCCCAAGGCCAGTCGTGTTGTCGGAGAGGAGCTGGACTCTCTGCCAGCAGTGTCAGAATGTTGGCCAGAATAAAATCCGTGCTGGACACAGAATGGTCCACTGACCCACAGAAGCAGCTCCAGTCAGAGACTCACCTCACCACGCTGACCCAAAGGAAGTCACTCCTGCCTGTGGCCATCAAACTGTACAATTCATCTCTCCGACAGTCATTTCATTTCATTACTTATTATCTATCTATTTCATACTTCACTATTTGAAATAACCCGGTCATGTGCAACAATAGTAATTTAGACACTGAGCAGCTTTGTTAATACTGTTGATTGTAAAGTTTATTTTATTTTTTCATTTTATCTATTAATTTTTTTCTTCAGTAAACTGGTGCACTGCAAAAAAAATAAAAATAAATTCCCGCAAGGGATTGATAAAGTAATTCTGATTCTGAAACCAGGGTCTGAATCCCTATCCCGCTTTTCCCGGTGCAGTTGGTTGGAGGCTGGACTCAAACCCTATTTGATGACATGCTGGAATAGTTGGACTTGGGGTTAAACTTCACTCTTTGGTCTATCAATCATATAAAGAAAAAAAGAAAAGAGAATTGATTTTGTTAAAAATCACAAACTATAGCAAAGAGCATTTATATCCAAGTGATTCAGTCATCAGTCATTTTTATCCCTCGCTGCTGATCACTTTGAAGAAAGTGGTTGACGTTTTAAAACCTTATTGTATTTGAACTTATTTTAAAAACCTGTTCTTTACTAGCGTTATGATCCACTTAGCAGCATGTATTGCTGACACACTAAATACAAGTGTTCTCTTCTTGTTCATATCCTTATTTGTGATGCCCCTCTTGTTTTGCTCCCTGTACCTGTCCTCACCTCTCTGCCTCTTCTCCACAGACTACGGGAGCGGTGGGTTTACTGCCTGGATCAGAGGAACCAGCAGCAGCAAGATTTCTTCGAGGAGAGAATGAGAAAAGTACAGAGGGTTCAGCAGCATTCACCCTGTAACCAACAGATAAATGTTAAGTTATCATAAAGTGAATGTATAAAACACACCTCTTTCATGTTTTTTTTTTATTCTCTCTAATTTTCTCTACATAAGGAGGGTTACACACACACACACACACACACACACACACACACACACATATATATATATATATATATATAAAAAAATAATAGAGAGAGAGAGTGCTTTAGAGTCTGTTGCAGACAGCAGTATTTAAAGAATGAGGCAGGAAAGAGATGCCACACGTCAAAATCTCAAAGAGCAGACGTAGAAGAACGATCAATGCTGATCTTCAGTGGGATATAATTGCTTCTACATCAGAGTTTGAGGAAGTCTCCAAAAATACTAACTTTTGTAAGATTAGCAATTTGTCAGTTTTGCAAATGAAATGTTCTAAATGTAGCAAAAGCGTTTGCTCACAGAGACGTGACTGAGGACAACAGAACAAAGGGTCAGTTAGTTAGAAAGCCTGATTCTCGTAGATTTATAGCTGATGAAGCAGCATGTACTGCAGGGCAGAGTCAGTCTGCTTCTGACTAAATCTGCACACACACCAGTAAACCTCCTTGGGAACATTTCAAAACAGGCAATATGGGCCAAACACAGATTGCTTCTCTGAGACAAAGGCGGTTGGTTTATCAGCTCATCTCATTTCAAGTTTTAAAACTTACAGTTTATTGAAACAGTACAAAACAACTGTTGGAGAAAAATTAAACTTGTAAGCTAAAAAAATACACAGCTTCACCTCTTAATCACTTTAAGCCTAAATGGAGCTTGGTTATTGGGATAATACTAAAGTTCTGTACATTCCCTAAAAAAAGAGAGAAAATAAAATGACAATACTGGATAAAAAGCTTTTGCCTTGTTGTATAGCTAATGGTAAATCAAAATGGATTTTTAAAATTATTTTTGCATTCTACCATCCACATATGCACACAGAAATTCAAAAGTGTTATTAGGGCTACAAACTATTCTCATGTACTTTCTGCACTAAATCTATTACTCATATGTTTTTCTAAATTAATTGTACTCCTTAAAGTAATTTTCATCTATGCCACTATTTATTCCACACAATATATAAAAAAACAAATCAGACATGGCTGCTACATTTCATATCTCAAAATCTGTAATATACAAGCTGCTTCCAAATTGTGTCAAAAAACAAAAGAGCACAAAAAGAAACATCAGTATCCCGATGTAAAGAAAACGTATTCATTTTTTCTTTTCAATATCTATGGACATAGGTCTGTTTTTGTGGCATGCTCCCTCTGGTATCTGTAATGTTTGCTGAACATCCCATGAAATGTTAACCGGCCCGTAAGTGTCTGAAACTCTGAGAGGATGTAGTGTTAGCGACCACCAGAGTGCAGTAACACACAGGGAAACATCCCATCCGGCAATTTACGCATGCTGCTCCAATTCTACACAACGAACAAGGTCTGTTCATCCAGGGATTCATTAGCTTTTTCAAGGGAGGGAAAAACCTGATATAGACTATAGTTATAGTCTATCTAACTGTAGTTACAGTTCTGCATTTCATTAAATGTATAAGTGAAGTTCTGTGACACTACGCTACATTATGATAGCAAACATCAACATTAACAAAAAGATGCATAGAAGGAAAGCATAAGTAAGACTCTTTTAGAGGCATTAGTGGTGGCAGTTTAGAGATTAACAGTGGCATATAGAGAGAAAAGGGAGGCACAGGGGTGGGAAACTACAGGATAAGTGTTAGGGGAGGAGATCTGTCTGAAGAGTTGGATCTTCAAGAGTTTCTGGAAGACAGACAGGGATGCCCCTGTTATCAGTTAGCAAAATTTTCTGTTTTTTATAGCATTTTGAAAAATAGATCTTTATATCTGACAGACAAATTTAGAGCAGCGACGTCTAAATAAAAAGAGAAGAAGCTAAAATGAAACGATTTTCTTCATGTAGACTAAAAGGAGTCAGCACAACTCACATATGACTTAAGAACTTACAGTTTCACAAAGACAGAGAGAGGGTTCTGAACAGGATGCCATGTCATAAAGTCATAATCTGTTCCTGAATAAGGCGGGCAGGCGGCAGGATCTGAGGAGATAATGAGCCAGGCAGGATTTAAAAGTAATGCAAATCAAGACACTTCTAAATGTCCATCGTAGTTAACTGTACATGGCATCTACACAATGAAAGAACCTGATGGGAACAACTTTTTTGAATAGTCCAAAGATAGGAGATTTCCTTTTGGTGCAATTTATAACCTGGAACTGATTATTTTAGGTCAGATCAAACCTTTAATGCTCAGTTAATCTAAGAATTAAAAAATGTTGTCAGAAAGTACACAGCCTAAGTTTTACATTGAGAGTTTTAGATGAGTAAATTATTCTTAGATATTTCTAATGCTTGTCAGGGAAAGGCAAAGAGGTGTAAAAGGGAGGAGAGAATCTGTCACCATTCACACACAATCTTTTGTTTGGGAGAAAATAGTCAATTGTTACTGCTTCTGTACATAATGACCTCTTTGCAAACACACCTGCAGAAAAAAAGATTAAATTAATGTATTTGTCTGAAAAGATGATTATTCTATTCTATTATATTACTATTCATCATTTATAGAGGAGAAGAAAAGCAATCACAAGTTTCTTTTCAACACAATGGCCTTGCTAAGAGTCCTATCTTCATTTGAGTTGATCATCATTATATTTTATATTACTTTAATTCAACTGACTTGAATTAGACAATATTTTTTAAGTGCCTTGAGATAAAATTGTAATATGACACTATTAAAAAAAAAGTGAGCTGAATTCAAATCAAAGGGGCCTGTTGTGCAAAAGTATTGCAAATAATAAGAGATGAGCCAGAAATATGGTAGATGGAGCTTCTTGGCTCTGTCTTAAATCCCACATGTTCTCGCACTGGTTGATTCCACCCCGATAAAAGATGAAGTGCAAATCCTTTTTCTGGTTAGCTTCTGTGAGGAGTTGCATGAAAAATGTACAGATGCAAACCACTTTTCAAAGTTCTGAAGCAAAGCTGCCCTCTTAAGTCACCCCACTCTTCTCCCGCTGAATAAACGTCTATAGGGTCATTGTCAAGTCATGGCCTGGGTTTTCAGGTTTTCCATTTGTGGATTTCAGGCAGTTTGAATTCGACTCCCCTTAAATACATTAAACAGGGGCTCAGGGAGTCAGTTTAAAGGGAAAAAAAGCGTCAGTGTGCAGATCAGGGACCCCTGATGTGTCCTTGATGCTTTTGAGTGAACAAACTCCGGTCGATCAACAACTTAGTGAGTGGATGTTTGGATAAGGCCTGCAGAACTTAGAATGTTACATTGCAACTGACAGAAAAACTGGAGACACAGCAAATGTTGCCAAAATAAGTGAGAAAAAATAACTGATTAACCAATTAACAATCAGATTTGTGACCCATTCAAGAAAGTGAATTTAACTCTATATGACCAACACGTTGCCACAAGCAAGTTGTTTTAACACAGTTATGAAAATCATTTACATAAAACCAAATTATATGCATTTTGAGAATTTGTTTGAAATTGCCATATAGTTTCTGACCTACAGGAGTACTAACCCTGTATAATGAAGAGACTGAATGATTCACATGAGGACGGTTGACCTAATTGCCATCATTAGTGAGAATTGCGTTATTAGTTGATTGTAAAAAGATTTTTGGGTAAAAAGTGCCCTTTATGCTAATGTGGATTGACAGTGAAATGAAAAGGCCTACTCAAATCCAGTCTCTGAAAAGAGGGTATTATCATAGATACTTCATTATGTGATGAATAACTGATAACACCTGACATATGAGTATCAGATATAATCGGAAATATTATCTGATGAACACTACTCAGTGTACTCGAGTTGTAGCCAAATGGACTTTTTTGTCCATTCGGCTACATATAGTAAGTACATTAATGAACTGCACATCATCTATAATTCCTATTAATCTGAGGGAGGCAGAGCTGACTGGCCTGTGTGAGGCGGCCGGAGCAGATAAATGAACACGCGTATGACTTAACTTACATATTCAGAGAGCGAGAGAAAGGGCTCTGAATAGGATCCCCATGTCATAATGTCAAAGTCTTTTCCCGTATAAGGCGGGGCAGGTGGCGGGATCTGGGGAGATGATAATAAGCCCGGCGGAATTCAAGCACTGAGGTGGAGGGATGAGCTATGCCTGTGACAGCTGGAAATGGACACAGGCACTTCCATAAAGGTACAAGCTCTACAATATAAAACAGGGAAACACAGAGCAAACAGTCACTAAACCCACATAACTTCATTTGGAAAGTAAAACAAATACCGGTTTGAATCAAGATGTTGAACAAAACATAACATACATCTAAAACACACAGTTTAATACCCAAGGCATGATTAAAACATGGTAATAAACTTGTCATCTTGCCATTTATTTGGATAATGACAGCATTGTTACTATCAATAGCATAGTTACATTAATTCAAATGCTACTTATTATTTTGTATTGTGGATGTGATATGCATGTATCATATATCACACATAAAATATTAATTCAGACCATTTTAAATTACCTAGTAAAGATCAACAATTTATCATTTATCATACATTAAAAATGTCAATTATACATATGGTGTGGTAGTTATTCCTTAAATTATGAGCCATACCTTCATAAAGATTCGTAAAGAGGTTAAGAGATAAAGAAACTATGCAAACAGCTACATGGGTCATTTGTTACTGTGAAATACATGAAATTATGTCTTTTTGGGTTGGCTTTTGGTTTGGATTCATATCAGCTAAAGAGATCGTAAAATGCTTCCTGATGAGTATTTGATAAGTTCTACATAAGACAGCTTAACAATCTTGGAGTAATGACATTTTTAGCCAAAATGCGACATGCTTAGAGAGCCATTGGTTTGAGATGGGTATTCAGGGATAAATACGATGAGATTTCAATGATTAATGCTTCAAAGCCGCTTGGTTTAAACGATCTGGGTTTGTGCATGGTTTGCATTTTCTTCATAAACCAAGAAAAACTACATTTATTTTATTGAGTAAATGTATAAAATGCTTGTTGGAAAAAATATACTTACTACCACTACATGTATAAGCTTTAGCCTGCACAGCGATGAAAATGAGATGAAAATGAGCTCAGTAGAATAGATGGAACGAAAGTGATAAATAAGAAATGGGTTGAATGTTAAACAGTAGCTATATTTAATTTCAAGATGACATTCTAACAGTCTATAAGGACCCTGTCATCAACTGTTGATCCGTCTAGGGTACGGTCTGCCTTTACCACCATGTGACCCTTAAAAGGATGGGAGTATAAAAAATGGATGGATGGATCCATTCAACTACATTTGTCAACATTTTGACATGACCATAATCACCTTAGGTGATGGTAGTGGCCAAAAGCCATTAGTGTCTCATACTTTGCTAATGAGGTCTCATCTCATTTTTATAAAACGTTACATCGGAATCAAGTTGGAATATAAAAGAGAAAGAATAAAGCCACCAGGGACAGCGGTTGCTCCCACTCACTGCTTCTCTTCTCACTGTTTCAAACCAATTACAGTGTGATGGACTGACTGAAAATAATCTCTCGCTGAAGGAATGTGCTTTCCTTTCGCCAAAAAAATGGTGCGGCACTTCATATGAAAGATAAGATCGAACATAACAAAGGAAGCTTGAAAGATACTTTAGCTTTTAGACGTTTCAAACAGCTCTTGGGATTGGACCATACCTCCAGATTGTTTCCCTCTTTAGAACCTTCTTGAACTAAAATAAAGCCGAAGTCTCCAGTCTTGTCTCATAAGACTATATTTTTGTAACTAAAACCACTTATTAAACATATAATGATCATATTTTTATATGCAAGCATAGATTGTGTATTTAATCAAAGATGTTCATCAACTAATAACTCCAGGATGATTTGTGAGCATCACTTTAAAAGCTCAAAATCATATTGTGTCTAACAGCCAGAATGATATGTGTCCTCAGAGTTATTCAGGAATGTTAAAAGCACTCCCAGTTGCAGTCTAAGTGAGTTTGAGGCTTCACTGAGCAGCAGAATTGAGAAATATAGTCAGCAGGGGGCAGTAATGGTACTATCCAGAGGGAGAGGGCCCTGCTTATCCATGGTTTCTGTTGTCATCGGTATCAGTGCTGAGTTTAACAGGTCGCCTTCACTCCATGATGACTCTGTTTGCTTTGTGATTTTCAGGACTGAACTTCCCCGAGGCTCATTATGAAGCCCGTTCACACAGCCAGGCTCTGACTCTGTGGAGCTCATCTGGTTAAAGCGCTCAGCAGTGGCCCTAAATCCCTCTCTTTTCCCCTCCAGAAGCCTGTTGGCTCTTAGAAAACGTAACACAGTTCACAAAGCCAGGATCCACACAAAGTCTGGATAGTTCTGTGTTCTTTGCTCCGCCAAAGCACGGATGTGATGATGTCTGAAGTCTAAACACAAAAGAGGATAGAATACCAAAGCTGAGCGATTACAAATGGAGACAAATATCAAATCAAATCATTAACATAATAGTGAAATAATGGACTCATTTCCCTTGGCTTTCTGTGAACACAGTCAAAAGCCTGCATGGAATCCTTACCTTGGTCTTATGATCAAGATGTACATGTAGAGGAGAAAAAAAAGGTCCAATATTACAAACATTTCTTCAAAAAAAGAAGAAGAAAAGAAATCTAATGATTTCAGGTGGCCTTTCTGGATTTTTTGGGGGTTATTTTCAGTGTTCAATCGACACAAATAGTGCCATGCTAAACTCCACTCATTCTCCCGAGGTTCTATTTAACAATTTGTACAATTTTGTTAATTGAATCCTCCCTGGGAGAGAAACTGGGCGAGCAGAGGTGGCGTTTAATAAAAAAAGACGTCCTTCCGAGCTGTCGTTTTGAACCTTCATAAATGAAATATGACATCTAATACAGCTGCATCATTTAATTACTGCAGAATACTACCTCTGTAAATGGAATTCCCTCAGATGAGATGCAAAAGTGTTTTGAAATATGAATATATTATTTTAAATTAAATTTAGATATGGGTCTTAATGCATCAAACCGCTTTCAAATGTCATGTGGAAAAGGCTTCCATATATATGGATGTCTCCTCGCATGTGGCTCCTCCAGGAAGCCTCCTTTAACCTGGATTTTCTCTCCTCAAGTTGTATTCAGAGTACAGGGGTGTCCCTTAAACTGTTTTGATAAAAATCGATTGGCAGGTCGCTCGCAGAAGTACAGAGGAGATAAAAGGAGAGGAGATGCAGATCAGAAAAACGATCCAAGCTTAACATTCTTCAAAGACTAAGAGATTAACCTACTGTCATCCATAGTAAAAAGCTCCCCGTCTCAGAAACTATCATTGCTACAGACAACATGAAAACAAGATATTTAACTAATCTAAATTACCATATTAAACTGGATTACAGCTTTAAAGTTATTTTTTCCTTCAAAGCTTTTAAATCAAAGAGTCTTTATTGTTATCTTGTGTCTGTTTTCTAAAGTTTTATCCAAAGCTACGTTGTTTTTTTGCTTCTTAAATCTTACACCTAGCTCAAAAATGGTCATTGCCAGAATGTTATACTAAATACATGAAAATATAAGATTCCACCCGGGAAGAAAGTCAAATAAATGAGGATTTAGCAGACACAGAGGGAGTCTCACATGAGCAGACAAACAGGTGGCCAGAGTCATGCACAGTGTGCTTTATCACAGAAGCAGGGTTTAGGTGCTCCGTGGGATTTGTTTAAAAGTAGGAAAAAAGTAGAATATCTCCTCACACATCATCTTGAGGCACATTTACGGAGCAGCTGGGATAGGCTTCAGGTCGCTCGCTTCCCTGAAATTAATTAAATGGATGTAGAAAATGGATGGATGGATGAATGGATCGCATTCTGGCAGAAGTCAGTGGAGCCTCAATTATCGGTGATGGTTGTCATAATCAGTTCAAATAAAAGAGAACATACATAAAGCACGCTCTGACACAAAAGAGAAAAACATGATACCAGAGTCATTTGTAGGCACTTCAAAAATACATTAAATTGTGAAAAAAATCTAGATCCTATAGCTTCACTGAGTTGAAATGCGTCTAATTTATACAGAGCCAATTAAAAAGTTCCAGGCTAAGGAAACCAGCCGATTACGCCAATTCTTCTCTTCTGTCCATCCCACCACCCGGAGCAAGCATGAGGCGACTGTGGAAGGAAAAACTATAAGAAACCTCTGGCAGAACCAGACAAAAAAAGGGAAGCCATCTGCTTCACCAGCCTGGCCCCTCAAACAAACGTGGTGCCCCCTCAAACTGAATCCCCCAAAATTGATTATTAAACGTACAAAGCCATGCCATATTCCCCTATTGGCCTTCATATCTGTCTCCATCTGGACTGTAGCTTTTCAATGTTCTCTACATAAAGAACAGAAAGGCATAAAAGCCTCCATTTATTCCAGGAATCCATTCTTTAACCAGCAGGATGAGTCCCAGCTGGACCACATGCAGCCCTGCAGCTTTTCTTTGGGTAGAAGAGATCTCATTAATGGAGTTAGACTCAAGCCGAACAAATCCACGGGTTAAGTTTTAGGATTTAAGGGGAAAATGCAGAGAAAGGCTCCAAGATGCAACAGGATAAAGACAGCAGGTAAAGGAGGTCGCAGGTAGAAGCAGGTCCGCACTGGCCCACAGAAGAAGAAGAAGAAGAAGAAGCCACAGGGCGTATCAAATATATACATATCATTGTGCCTCCAAGACAGAAATCCTGGACAGGCCCCTGAGGTGATTATAACAATGTCTCATCAGAACCCTTGGTGTAGTATTTTGGCTTTGCGTCTCAGCGAAAGGTTTTTCAGGCAATATTTAGGACAGCTTGATGGTAAGGAAGTTCAATTTTGAAGTGTAAGTATGTGGAATTGCAATACTTACAAAAACATGATTTTAACTGATCATTCAACATTTGGATTTCTTTTTTAACTCAGCGTTACATAACATGGTATTCATCTATAGCTCAGAGTTTAGATCAGACCATTTGAATTTTGAACCAGTTAAAAGTTAGTTTTTTTCAGTTTTTATGATTGAATGGCTGAACTTGAAAACATTCAAGATACATAGCTTTCAATATCAGGTATACCAGACCTTGAATTCTATTACAAAAGATGACAGATGTGGCCCATTACAAATATGTCTCCCTGTAGCTAGGAAATCACCCCCCCGCGGGGAATATGATCTGGGTCATTTAGAGGCTGATTGTCAAGGACCTGCTGATATTTTCTCATACAGTTTTCAATATGGGAGTTAGCAGTTGATAAAACTACTTCCGCCTTTTTTTTCTAACAGAAACGTCAGTATGTAAAATTCTAATAAATAATCCTAAATTGCAAAGGCATCGGCAGATTCTCTTTGCTGTTTAGGAGCAGAACTGCCCCAGTTTTTTTGCTAAAAACCTGGTGTTGCCCACTCCTCAGTAAGGAGAGTAGCTATTGGCTGTCCTAAAAGGCCAGAATTGATGAATGATGTCATCGACCAATTTGCATAAACCTTGTGCATTTAATAGAAAGGTGTAAAATGATCAAGATTATAGAATTCAAGGCGAATTTACAATCCACATAATACATCCATACAATTATACAATACATACTATACGTTACATTTTCTCATGCAAATTAAATTCACACATGAGAACTACATTTTAAAGTCTAACTCGAAGACAGAAAATGCAAGAACTTGTAGAAAGCTTTGTATTTGTTTTTTATTACCTGATGATTTTCTCCCAAACTCGATCTGAATTTGAGGTCACAAAAATCACCAAATATGAAAAAGTATATTTCCCGAAAAAAATGAATGTGTAGGAAAATATTCGGATTTTTTTAATAAAAAAAAATACAGTATTTTGTTTGCATTAATGAAAGATTTTTTCATTTTCCGTTACCTGAAAAATCAGCCTGTTAACTTTGAACGTGTAAAATCTCAGAATTTCTGCATATTTCTTGGTGAAATCTTGTGTTTAAACTAATTTACAACCCCTGCTGGCTGCCAATCAGCAGCCAGCAGTCTGTTATCAGTCCAACTCATTCAGTTTGAAGTCCCAGCCGTGTAGGTCCTAAAAACTTAACTACAGGCGCTGATGACCAGTGAAAAGGAAAAAAAACAAAAAAAAACAAACCCAAAGTTTCCAGTTTCCAGCAGTTTTTCATGAGGTATGTGTAAATATGGCACCATGCACTTTATTTGGTAAGATATACTTTAACAATGCCAAATGCATTTTGGTCAAATATTTGCACTCTATTGGATTTGAACAAATAGTTCGAACATTGCATTTTTTTGCACAATTTCCATATTTCCTGTCTTTTTTCATCAATCAATGATACTTTATTAATAATTTTACGGCTTCCCGTACAATGAAACTGATTAATTTTTAAATGTCTATTGTACCGGTGGGGGCTGTGGTGGCCGCATGGTTCCACCTCAGAAAAAGAGAAATGGTTTTAAAAAGGCCTTTATGCTAATTGAAATGCTTGGAGGAAGTAATGCTTCTGTCTGTGTGTACGTTGTGCACGAGGAGTGTGTACGTGGGAATCACACAGTGTGCGGGTGTGTGTGAGACGGTGCTCACCAGTCTGTCTCCAGGGCGTCGGGCAAACGGTTTCCCCGGGAAACGGGGATCATCTTTATTGGTGTGGGGGCACTCAAGAGGTAGATAGTGCAGTTTAAAGGCAAAAAGGTATTTTATATTTGTAATTGTAATGCATATGGATTATTCCCCGTTCAATTAACTAGACACTCTACATAAAACACCATTTTGAATCACTGGTTGTTGCTGGTTGATGTGACAGTAAAAGACCTTGTCCATAACATTCGACAATCCTGCTGAAATATTTTTTTCTTGCTATCATTCAACTTTGCCTGCGATCAGTCTTACAAGGTACTAGTGGGAAACCCTCATTTTTAAGGTCTTCAAATGAAGACATTTACCATGATCTGTTTGGATGGCTTACTTTTATATAGTCCACACAAACCGCTTTTGAGATCTATCAAAAGAGAGGTTTTAAAACCTTAAAGTCCCACCAGGTAAAGATAAGATGGAAAAAAAGAAAAGACTGTACAATTCACATAATCAATAACAGGATAGAGAACCATCTATTCTCAAAGATGGTTGTTGAGTTGCATTTTCTAATTATTTTCTTCAAACCTATAACATAAACAAAGCCCTCTTATGGAATACATGAAATATATACATTTCAATTATGTAATTTTCTATAAAAAAAAAGAAAAAAGAAAAAGGAAGTTCTCACCTTCT